GTTGTAGCAGCAGGAGTGCAAAGAGGCTCAGAAATTCCACTCAAGACTATGTGTGTCTGCTTGAAGACTGTACAATGGTGGTCTCAAAATGCTGCAGTACATACTGTCCAGCACATGGACATCCATTAAGATGTAGTAGAAGTCCACAGGACTACAATTAGCACATCAGAATCCTTGGCTCCAGAGGGAGGAGCCCTTTATCCAGGTCCTGTGCTGCAGAGTGCTCCTGCCTCTGCCTGGAGGCGAGGGCAGTGGTGTCCTCTCTTGTGGGAGATGTGCTGTGGTCAAGGCCCTGAAGTTCTAGATTAAGGGAGAAGATGAAGAGGAGACTGATATGGTATTTGTGGAAAACCCAAGCTACGCAAGGTGAGGAAGGAGTGACAACTGGAGACCAAGTGGACAGAGACTATAAAGACGGAGAAGGCTGGAAGCTTGTGACTTCCGGCAACAAGACAACGCAGATCTGTTCCATCTACAGATCTCCAATTTCAGAATAGGTATAGTACTCTGTGCACTGGTGAGGATCAACAAGACCTATCAGAGTCAGCTGAGCCTGAACTTAGTGTCCACACAAAAGGGAAAAAATGAGTGATAGTGTCACCCAATGCTACCTGACACTATGGGGACAGGCAGGTTATTTTTAAGGATCCTTGGTAGAATGACAACCAGCCAGAGGTCTGTAGTTATAATTAGAGCTTTATTATTATAGAAAGATTTTAGTAATCAGCGTAGCTTATCGTTACACAGAATTTCTAGCAATTAGGATAGCTTTCCTATTACCTAAAATTGCAGTTGCCTATACTTTTCAGTCACCTGGACCCTCTGCAGATCAGGTCAAATTCTTAATAATCAGAGAGCAATAGAATAATGATAATCTGGACTCTGACTTTTAAAAGTACATGAGTCACTCAATCCTCAGAAGAATAACGACGGAGGGGGTGTCGCGGTACTCTAGCCCACGGTGAGGGTGCTCCCCCTTTCCTCTTCCATCATGGTGCGAGCGTCCCCTGTATCACACCAGGAAGCACGAAAGCCTTAGCAGTCTGTCTGCTGTTGGATCAGCTTCAAAAACCTTTTGGATAAGCTGATGTATTTATACCTCTCAGTCTGGGGGTTTGGTCTATACAATTTCCATAAGTTAGTGGATTCTGAAGAAGCTGCCAGACAATCAGTGTGCAAGAATTCTGGCTGCAAGAGACAGCAAGCTGCAGGTGATAATGGCTGCGTAATGATCTTTATCTCTTCCTGTCCATTGTGTCCTGCCTACATGGTGCTGCCCCCAGCACACCTCAGGCCTTAGCATGAGCTGTGTGTTAGCCAAAATCTGAGCAAGAGTTGAGTGAACAGTCACAGGAGGTGACCACCGAGGGATCACGGCTTTTGCCATCCAGAATATCTCATGTGCTGTTACGCTTCCCTGTCCCATAATGGGTGTCACCATACCCCGGCAACAGTGCTGTACCGCGTGTCAGGAGCAACGGGTACCAGTCACAGACAGTTACTGGCGATTCCTCTTGTGGACGATCGAGGCATGTATCTTCTGCCCCCACCTGATGTCTGAGGAGTTTTGTTGTTTGGTAGGTGCCAGAATGTGGGATTGTCGCAGATGCAGTGCCGAGATTTGTCCAGCCTTCTAACATGGACCTCTTCTTCCTCTTCCTTGTGGGTACCAACAGTACTGCTCCAGAGGTAACCTGGAGCTTATCAAGAGAGACTACAGAAGTGTGGGGCTGAGAGTGAAGGGCACGGAGCTCTGGTCTTGCCTTCCCAATCCTCACAGGGAGGAGGCAAGCTTGGGTAGAAGTGGACTATGCCTAGCTGTATGGCTTGTGTTGCAGACAGGGCTTTGGCTTCCGTGACCAGAGGAATGAGGGCTACTGAGCAGGGATGGAATAAATCTAATGAAGTGGAGCAAGAGTGTCTTTGCAAACTGGCTTGCTAATCTACTGAGGAGACTGTTAAAGTGGGTACGGAAGGCTATCATGACCTGAAGAGGAAAGGTCATAAGGGGCAGAGCAAGATGTGTCTAGGTGACAAGCTTGACAAGGGAGGCTCTCGCCCTTCTGTAAATGCAGCAGGACTTGGGGCCCATCTCAAATGCCTGCACACAAAAGCACATGGCATGGGGAACAAGCAGGAGAAATT